TTTTAGGGGGGTTTTTTTGAGGTTCTTTTGGGGTTCTTTTAGTCTCCTGAGGGGGGTTCTCTTCAGGTTCTTTTAGGATTCTCTTAGGGTTCTTTGCCAAGTTCCTTCAGGGTTCTCTTAAGGTTCAAGGTTCTTTGGGAATTTCTTTCAAGATTCTTTTAGGGTCTTTTTTTAGAGGTCTTTTAGGTTTCTGGGGAGGTTCTTTTAGGGTGGTCTTAGGGTTCTTTGCCAGGTTCTTCAAGAGGTTCTTTAGGGTTTCTTAGGGTTCTTTGGGAGATTCTTTTAGTGTTGTCTTAGGGTTCTTTTGAGGGTTTTTTTAGGGTTGTCTTGAGATTCTTTGCCAGGTTATTTCAGGGTTCTCTCAGGCTTCTTTTCAAGGTTCTTTGGAAGTTCTTTCAGGGTTCTTTTAGGGTTTTTTTAGAGTGTCTTTTAGCTTCCTTGGGGAGGTTCTTTTAAGGTTGTATTAGGGTTCTTGGCAAGGTTCTTCAGGAGGTTCTTTCAGGGTTCTTTTAGGGCTTTTTACAGGTCCTTTAAGAGTTCTTTAAGGGGTTTTTTAGAGGTTCTTTGAGAGTTCTTTTAGGTGTTCTTATGAGGTTCTTTTAGGGTTCTTTTAGTCTTCTGAGGGAGGTTCTCTTAGGGTTCTTTGGGAGGTTCTTTTCAAGGTTCTTTTAGGGTTCTTTAGGAGGTTCTTTTAGAGCTGTCTTAGGGTTCTTTGCCAGGTTCTTTTAGGGTTTCTTAGGGTTCTTTGGGAGGTTCTGTAGGAGGTTCTTTTAGGGTTGTTTTAGGGTTCTTTTCAAGGTTTTCTTTGGGAATTTCTTTCAAGGTTCTTTTAGGTTTCTTGGGGAGGTTCTTTTAAGGTTCCTTGGGAGGTTCTTTTAGGGTGGTCTTGGGGTTCTTTGCAGGGTTCTTCAGGAGGTTCTTTTAAGGTTTCTTAGGGTTCTTTGCCGGGTTCTTTGCCAGGTTCTTTCAGGGTTCTCTTTTCAAGGTTCTTTGGGAAGTTCTTTCAGGCTTCTTTTAGGGTTTTTTTTTTAGGTTCCTCGGGGAGGTTCTTTGGGAGGTTCTTTTCAGGTTCTCTGAGGGTTCTTTGGGAGCCTGTGGCCCCGTTTGGCCCCCAGGTTGTCAGCCAAGAACCTGCAGGTGACCGTCGGGGAGGCGTTTGAGCGGCTGCACCGGGAGCGGCAGGAGGGGCTTTTAGGGTCCTTGGGGAGGTTCTTTTAGGGTTCTTTTCAAGGTTCCTTTAGGGTGGTCTTAGGGTTCCTTGCCAGGTTCTTTCAGGGTTCTGTTAGGGTTCTTTGCAGGGTTCTTCCAGGGGTTCTTTTATGGTTTCTTAGGGTTCTTTGGGAGGTTCTTCAGGAGGTTCTTCAGGAGGTTCTTTCAGGGTTCTGTTAGGGTTCTTTGGGAGGTTCTTTAGGAGGTTCTTTGCAGGGTTCTTCCAGGGGTTCTTTTATGGTTTCTTAGGGTTCTTTGGGAGGTTCTTCAGGAGGTTCTTTCAGGGTTCTCTTAGGGTTCTTTGGGAGGTTCTTTAGGAGGTTCTTTGCAGGGTTCTTCCAGGGGTTCTTTTATGGTTTCTTAGGGTTCTTTGGGAAGTTCTTTAGGAGGTTCTTTTAGGGTTCTCTTAGGGTTCTTTGCAGGGTTCTTCCAGAGGGTTTTTTCTGGTTTCTTAGGGTTCTTTGGGAGGTTCTTTAGGAGGTTCTTTTAGGGTTCTGTTAGGGTTATTCCAGAGGTTCTTTTATGGTTTCTTAGGGTTCTTTGGGAGGTTCTTTGGGGGGTTCTTTGGGAGGTTCTTTAGGAGATTCTTTTAGGGTTCTGTTAGGGTTATTCCAGAGGTTCTTTTATGGTTTCTTAGGGTTCTTTGGGAGGTTCTTTGGGAGCTTCTTTAGGAGGTTCTTTGGGAGGTTCTTTGGGAGGTTCTTTGGGAGGTTCTTTGGGAGGTTCTTTGGGAGGTTCTT